ATTCCCGAGCTGAACCGAACCGGGCTTTTCCAGCGCAGCACAATCGCTGGCGAGGGGGCCTGGCCTGGAGGTGAGGTCGCGGGGTGGGGTGGGGTGGGGACCCTGGAAGTCTGGGGGTTTTTTTTAGTTATTTTGAGACAGGCTCTCGTTATGTAATCCCGGCTGGCCTTGAACTCACTGGGTAGCCCAGGCTGGCCTCTTACTTCATGGGATCCTCCTGCCTCAGCCTCCCCCGAGTGCTGAGTGCCGGGATTACAGGGGTGCATCAGCCCACTCAGCGATCCCCCAAGGCTTAGGGACAAAGGGAAGGGAGGGAGGGGACAGTTGTGGCCCATGCTGGTCTCCCCTGGCAGCCTTTCCGCCTACCTCTGAGCTCATTAGGACCACACTTCACAGGGACACGGCGGAAAGCCACCAGGTGAGAGTAACCTGTTCCCATGGACTTTCACCTCCGGCTTCTCCATCGCGCCTCCTTCCTGACATATATTTTTCTTTCTTTTCTTTTCTTTTCTTTCTTTCTTTCTTTCTTTCTTTCTTTCTTTCTTTCGGGGGGGATACCGTGGATCGAACTCAGGACCTGTGCTTGCCAAGGGCACTGAGCTAAATCCCCGGCCCTTGACATTGGTCCTGTGTTTGTCTCCCCTGGTCCTCTCTTTGTAGAACAGCGCCTGGCAGAGAGTAGGTGCTCAACAAACACTTGTTCAGTCAATGAATACATCATTTCATCTCCCGGCTTCACGTGGCTGGCAGGGCAGAGGGTGCAGTCATTCGCCTTACACAAGTGGAAACTGAGGCCCAGCTTCCTAACAGCCACTAGGTGAGGAAGGACACTCGGTCCCCTGCATCCCCTGCCAGGGCCTTTGCTCTGCACTGCAGCCCCTGCACCTTTTCTTTTGAAACAGGGTCTCGCTAAATTGCCAGTTTGACCTTGAACTTGTAACCCTCCTGCCTCAGCCTCATGAGTGGCTGGAATGACACACACGTGTCACTGCACCTGGTTTCCTGCTCAAAAATTTGATAACTTGAGGATAAGAGAGGAAGATAAGTTTTCCCAACAGAGTGGGAAGACAGGAAATTCAGAAACCAGTGGCCTGCGGCTTGAAAGAGGAAAAGGGACACCAAGGTTGGACAGGGGGCTTTGTGGTGCCTCTCGGTTTCGCCCCCACCCCTGCTCCTCACGCAGCTCTCCGTAGGTGGTGAGCTGCTCCTCGGCAGAGCCCCAGGCGGAGGCTGAGCGTCCGACCACAGAGCCGCTTGTGTGGGGAAGGTCTCACCGCGCGAAAGAGGTCACAGGCCGGCCCTGCCGCCCAACAGGGGCCTGGCGCCACCTGGTGGAGACGGCTATGAACTGCGTGCCTTTGGTCCAGATGGGGACACACAGGCTCCCCCGGGCCCGCGTCCTCCACGCACGCGCGCTCCTGTGCCCCGTGTCGCCCTGCTGGGAGCGCCCGGCCCTCCCAGTCCCCGCGAGCGGAACGTCTGGCTTTGTTCTTTCTGCTTAGGTGAACTTTGTTTAAAAAGGACGCACCACGTCGCCCCTGCACACAAAGACCTCGGCGTGACAGTTGCATGTTTTAAATCCAAATTCAAAAACAAATGCGCCTGCGGATTGGGTCCTCCCTCTCCCTAGGGTGACGGCTGCCCCTCGCGTCCCCCGCTGGTCCCGCGGAGCCAAGGGGCCACCGCCTACAGAGACGAGCAGCGCCCCGTCGCCCTCTGGTGGGCAAATTTAAAAAGACATCCCTCCAAGGGAGGAGCGGGTGAAGGGAGGACAGGGTAAGGGGAAAAAATGAGAACCAAGACCCGTCACGTAAAGGTACAAGATCCCATGACGAATGTAACTGTACTGTATGCCTAAAATGGACCAGCAAACTCAATGAGAAAAAAATCCCTCCTGCGAGGGTATGTGCGAGGGCTGCACCCAGCGCATAAGGTCAGGCTGCTTCCGGGTCTGCACACAGCCTCAGCTGAGGGCTTATGCGCAGTGCACACCCTGAACAACTGTACCTCTCGTTCCGGCAGGTGGAGACAGTTCTAAGACTCATGGGATTCCCCAGGCTGTACTCAAAGGCTACCCCTGCTTTTATTTTTTTTACGAGACAAGGTTTCCCTAAATTTTCCAACTGGCCTCAAACAACCTCTCGAGTGGCCGGGGATATAGGCCTTCACCAGGGCAACGAGGCTGGGCTCGAACATAGCGAGCCCATTCCTGCTTCAGCCTCCCAGAGTGCTTGAACATTCTAGTTTTTGGCGGGGAGTGTGCTTGATTATTTGTTCAAGAAACAGGTGTTGGGGAAGGTTGTGGGAGGAAGAACAGAGGGCAGCACCGGGAGGAAGAATCCGGGGCAGGTTCCCCCAGGCCCTGGGTCCCCAGCCCACTGGAGCTGGGGCGCGCAGGCGCAGATCGGCCTCGCTGAGCTGGCCGAGCCCCTCCC